CCCATCTCATCCTGCCACTCCCATGAAGACGGTAGGTGAGCTGAGGGACTTGACCGGTCCTCTGGAAAGAGCGTGCTGATCACCCTTCCCAGCAGATCCGGATCGAGAGTCTCCGTCAAGGGGGCCGACCAAGGCCGGAGCTTACCCAGTACCATCCTGTTTGGACGCCCCCAGGGATCCTCGTTGAGTCTCTCCAGAAGCTCTTTCCAGGACCGAGACCTGGCGTTAGAAATGGCAATTTGTAATGCCTTTGTAGCCGCTCGGTATGCCCCGTAGAGTCTGGCTATCTCCTCTGGTAGAGCTCGCCTTCTCCTTCGGGCTCTAGAGTACTGGCGTCGACTTCGCAAGCAAATCGCGCGAAGGCTTGCGATTTCGAGCGACCACCAGAACACCGCCCTGCACTTGGGACGGCTGGTTCTGGGCATCGATACGTCGCATATTTGCGTCATTGTAGCCCGAAACCAGTTCGCTTCCCCTTCCGGATCGATCTGAACCTCTTCGGCTTTTCCCGGCCAGGCCGCAACGATGGCGTCGGCTTCAAGCTTGTCTCGGTTGAGCCGCTTGACGCACCAACGCCGCGATGGGCTGCTTTCTTGACGACAGGAATTACTGTTGAAGTGGCGAAGTGCGACATCGAACACGATGTGGCGGTGGTCCGACAATGTAACCACCTCCGTCGCAACTCGCCAGCCCGACAGCACCCGCATTGCAGGAGGAGTTGCCCATGTGAGGTCCACTATGGACTCTCCCTGCCATCGCACACATGTACTCTCAGACCCCCGATTTAATAGTCGGAGGTCCAGACCAGCCGCCCACTCCATTACAGTCTCTCTTTTCAGATCGTCCCTGGAGTTGCTTTAGGCCCTAGTATGCGCGTTAAAGTCTCCTAGGATGATCAACGGACGAGGTAAGCACCCGCGCACGCAATCTGCCACCTCGTCCAGGTACTCCTCGTAGTCGGCGAGGGTCCAGTTGGGAGAGACATAGCAGCCCACTATGGCCAGGGTGCTCCACTGCACTGCAACAAAGTCCTGCCCCCCTTTGCGTGAGGACGCAGGGTGGAGCACCATCACTACCCCCCCAGTAGATGGCTACGGAGCCCGATTCGTCACCGAACCAGCGAGGATGGTTGGGGATGGTATGGGGCTCCACTACTATTGCAAGGGCAACCCGCCACTCCACAATAGTCTGCATAAGCAGATGTTGCGCATTGCGGAAGTGGTTCAGGTTACCTCTGGAGGACTTTGAGGGGTGTGAATTTTAAGTTTCAGCAACTTCCATGACCGAGTCAGAGCTCGGTGCCGCAACAGGTGCTGCTGCAACCGTCCCGTTGGGGGGGTTGGGAGAGGGTTTACTCTTCCTTACTCCCCTTTTTGCGGGTAGTGCGCATTTTTTCCCCAACCTATAGTTTGAGGGGCGCCCGAGATCTGAGCAAACGGGACATTTCAGTGCCGACGCAGTACACTGGTTTGCTCTATGACCTGGTTCGCCGCAGGCGTAGCAGCGGGTGCTCCTGTCTGTCTCGTTAGGGCACTTACTGCCCACGTGCCCCTTCTCGAGGCATCTGTAGCAGTGCATAGGCCTGGGCTCCAGTAACTCCACTCGAGTAGAACCCCATCCTATGCGTATGCGTCCTTCAGCCATTATTTTTTTAACCGCTGCTACTGGGCATCGCACCCAGCACGTCCCCATGCTGGTGGGAGTTCGGCGAACGTCTCCAACTTTGATATCGTCTACCGAACAACCCCCCAACTCAGAGATTGCAGCCGCTATCTCGTTAGAGCGACCAGCGTCGTCGAGGTCCCTCAGTCGGACGTCACGCATTTTTATTGGGCGACTAATTCGAACCTTCAGATCCTCAGACCTCAGACCTCGCGCAATTTCGCTGCCAGCTTATCCGCCTTTGAGTTACATTCAAGGCCCGTAATCTCAAGTAGTAAACCCCCTCTTACAGCTCGCTTTTGGAGAATGGAGTCAATTCCCAACTCTGTCAATTGGATCTTCGCTTTTGCTTCCCCATTACATCAGCATATGTAAGTGACGAGTGCTCAGGCAGCGTCACCGTAACTGCCGCTGATGCTGGGGTACGAATTGCACTTTTTTGTCTTGTTTTACTCCCTTTTGGAGGAGGGAAAGAATCCGCCATTGTTTTAGGGCCCTTTTGTAGTGGCCTTCTTGTCACGTCTGCCCATGAGCTTTCCATCACCGGTGGTGAGCCGCGCGGCTGTGGTGGTGTAGCCACTGGAGGCAGATCGACCACTGGCGGATGAGAAGACACCTTTTTCTTCCTTGCTCGTCGATTTTTCTTCTTTTTCGTTTGTGGTGGTGATGGCAGTGGCTGCGACTGCGGACGTCTTGCTTCCAATGGCGGTGCAGCTGTTCCCGTCTTGTCAGTAGCTGGTTTGCTCGGGCTCTTTCGGGCAACAATCTGGCCTGGAAGGCAGCCAGTTTCCTATCAATGAGAGCACCTATGTCTGCCATGACTTGCTCACTCCCGCTCCTAGCCTTGGATGCATCAGCTGCCGGCTGTGTAGGCAAGGTATTAACAGGCCGCTCCTGCATCTGCTTGCGGAGGAGATTTATTTCTTCCGTAAGATTGTCAGCCTTAGCTGAAAGACTGACAAGTTGGGAACGCAACTCTGCGTTCTCTCTCTCCAGTCTGGTGACGTTTTTGGTTGGATCGGTCCTCCGCGCAAGTTCTTCTACTGCAGCTTTGATACTTCGCACAGCCAACCTAATGCCGCGAACAAACTCTCCTTTGAAGTTACGGGATCGATCAGCAACTTTTTCGAGAACCTGGAGGTGAAAATCAATTTACTGACCGAGCTCTACGTCTCCATGTGAATGCATTTCACGGGCCAGCGTTTCCGGGCCCGGAAGGTTCTTCTTTGCCCTGGTGTTAGTGGGCGTTACGGAGGGTTCGAAAAGATCCTCCTCTGTTTCGATGCCTGTGGCGGCCTCTTCTTCAGAGGCTGTGGCTGACACTGCCGCGAATTTAGCGGCCACAATCGCAGCACTTGGGGGCTTGGCCTTACCCCCCAAGGGGGGTTTTCTTCCCCCTTCTGGTGGAATCGATGTATGTGATATGGACAAGCCATCGGACGCCCCTCCATCGCTCTCAATCGCCTGTTTATCGGCGTATTGGAGCGCTTAAAGCGCCCATGCTTATTATGTGTCGGCACGGTTGTATCACCCGACACGGCTCCTTGCTTCTTACTTTGCCCCTTAGATGTTGTGGGGCCCGCGGTTGACGCTTGTGCATCCCCGCGATGCAGTGGATTGCCCCCCCCAGATACGATGGGGCTGCCACAGAGCCTATTAAGGCTGCTGGGGGTGGACTCCCCGCTTACCAATGGATCGGCGGGACCACCCTGGGTAATAGATTCTTTGTCGCACTGCATGTTTGGTATCCTTTTTTTTATACAGGCTGTGGTCCCTGATCCCCCTGACCCTCCAAAGGCTTGGGGCTGGGCTCTCCCCCAGCCATTCATCCCATCGGCACCTTAGACCTTAGGATTAGGGTTATTTTTGAAGAGGTTTTCTTCCTCACGGCCCTGCGGGGCCCCCCGATCCCTAGTGGGCATACGGTTCACCCAGCATTGATGCGCTTGGCATATCGCTGCGTGTGTTGCATCCTGTGTACGCTCTAATCAAAGAGTGATACCGGGAGCAACGACAAGCCTGTGAAGGCCCGTCTTTTAGGGTATTGAGCCCCGTCCGTTTCTGGCCCTGGTGGAACCACGGATATGCCTACACCCGGCCAGTATTGGTCCGCGGCGGTTTCCCGCAACCACCCATATCTGGGTGGCGTTCCCCCTATCCGCCACCTGGGTACGCACCCGATGGGAGCACTGGCAACTCCACACGGGAACCTAACCTAACCTAACCTAACCTAACCTAACCTAACCTCCTCCTTCATTTCGCCCCATACTTCATTTGTGAGGATACGGCGCTGCTCCTCCCATATCATCTTCTTGTCGACATACAACAGATTTATTTTATGATTTACGGGTGTATCATATTTAACGTACAGAATATTTTTAAGAAGTCAGAAGATAGTAGCTCAGGTGATAAATACTCGCCCTAAAATTTAACTATAAGAGATCAAAACGGTGGTTGATCCCCGCTGACGGCAGTAATTTTATTTGCTTTTACCTCTAATTACATTTAGAATGATAAGAAATATCAATAGATTTTTCATTTCGTATTTAATTTTTCACTTTGAATGTAAATTGAAACGTGGGTTATATGTCACAGCCAACTAGCTTAATTAGCCGTTGAATCAACAGCCTAGCCTCTTAACTAAACAGCACCGTTCAACTAGCGGCCTGAATGATATTCAGCCATTTGATCAAACAGCAAGGCAAGTGACTTTTATCGATGACATTTCATTACTTGCTTAGTGAACAGGTCATTGCAATTTAGTTCCACTTTCTATCACCCAGCGTCGAAACTCACCAAACTGTCAATATGGCAACGGCAAATAATAAATTTGATGGTGTTTTTCAATGTTTAACGAAAAATAATAAAAGCTGTCGCAGCCAAATATCTAATATAGCCATTAAATTAACAACATAGCCTTTTATGTTTATGGGCCGGAGGGTACCAGTAGGCTAAGTTTAGGGCGGCTCCCCCCACTAGATAGAGTAAAAATCCTGGGGGCCTAGACAAAATCCGTTTTCTGTAAGCGTTAATGCCAACGGAAAAATATACTTGTATGGAGTTGACATTTGCTAACCAGATGTCACGTGATTGCTGCTTAATTGGTAGACAAAGTCATTATTCCTCATGCGGAAAGGAACGTCGAAGTGAGCGTGACACACTAACGACAAAAATGTTCATTAAAATGGTAGACAAATGCCACTTTTGACAAACGCCAATGATATTTTGACGTTTCCGCAACACGCTATATTAGCGGGAGATCGGGCCCAGACGCTAACGCTAGAAACGAGTAAACAGTGATATTTTTGTGTGTCTTTAATTCAAATTAATTAGTGAAAATGCATACTTTGAGATTATTATGGGCAGCTAATAATGAAACAACATTGCAAAGACGCCAAACAAGAGAAAATCGTCGTAAAATGGTGCAAATTGTGGAGATGGAGGAATTGGAACTTGTTCAACGTTTTAGGTTAGATAAACAAAGTTTTTGGCGTCTTTGTGATGATCTTCGGCGTTTAACGTCATTGAAAGGTACCCGGGAAATTAGTTTAGAAATCAAGGTAAGTTTTGTACCTATATAAAACCTTCCAACAGAGTTAAGTACTTAATGTAATTTCTCAATGAAATCATGTTTCAGGTTTTGTGTACTCTTAGCTTTTTAGCTACGGATTCATATCAACGCATTGTTGGACTAACACAGCATTTGGTACAAAGAACAACTAGTAGGTGTATACGTCAAGTCGTTGAAGCATTGAGCCATCCAGCCATTCTAAACAAATGGATTCTGTTTCCAAGGTTGAAACAACAACGAGCCCAAATAAGACTTGAGTAAATTATATGACAAAAGTATTTAAGTAGAAATACATACTTGAAATACTTTTTATTAGTAGCATATTCTTTGATGTGCTTTACACTAAACACTATACCTCCCTTAAGTCCAATAGGTACTTAGAAAATGCCTCATTGAGCCTTTCATGCACACTACGTTCAAAATACTAGTAAAAGCATCTGTCCTTTTAAAAACAAAACAAATAAGTAAGTATTATATTTTCCAAAATTACAGGTTTCAGAGGCGATTTAAACTCCCGGGTACAGTTGGATGCATAGACTGTACCCATATAGCAATAGTCTAGCCATCAGATGAAGAACATTTATTTTTTAATAGGAAAGGTTATCATTCATTGAATGTATAAATAGTAAGTTTACATTTGTTTGTGGCTCAATTATGTAAAAATAGCTTTAAATAGTACTTACAGAAACATATTCATAGGATTATTATACATGTTCCATTTTTCCTGTCAACAGGTATGCAACAGTAATTTAAAAATTACTAATGTAAATCCTAAGTTTGGCGGTGCTACCCATGACTCATTCATATGGGCATCTAGCAGAATGGAAACATTTATGCGAGAATTGCACCAAAATGGAGAACAGGTGTGGTTATTAGGTAGGTTAATAAATAATATGGTACATTTTTAGATAACACTTTTGTTGACAACATTTTATTCACAAAGAATTATATTGTTGCATAGCAAATAATTATTACCTAATACAAATATTTATTTATGTATTTTAGGTCATTCTGGATATCCTCAGCGGCCATGGCTGATGACTCCCATATTAAATGCAGTTCCAGGCTCAGTTGAAGATACATATACTCAGCGACATGTACAAGCAAGAAACTGTATAGAGCGCTGTTTTGGATTGCTAAAGTCACGTTGGAGGTGTTTATTAAGACACAGGACCTTGCATTATCATCCTGAGGTTGCTGGGAAAATTATACTTACCTGTTCTGTGTTACACAATATGGCTTTAGAGGCCAATTTACCTCCTCCATCTATTATGGAAGTAGAAGAAGATGATGCTCAACCTGACAATGCATCTGATAGTGTTGGTGCTGCTAGTGATCAAAGTGAGCTACTCCAAGGTAGGGCAGTACTGAATAATCTTTTATCCAGACTTTAAAAGTATTTCTGAGTTGTTAGTGTGTAATGGTATGTGTTGTGTGATTTTTTTATTCCTTTCTTTTTAATTTAAGGACTTACGTTATGTGATTTGTGAAAGCAATGTAACAAAACCTTATTTCTAAGTTGAAGGTATATCAAAATTTAAGGTCAAGATTTTCTGTCTTATATGTTCCATTAATAAAATTATACACTATCCAAATTTTATTGTAAAATTAATTTTATGTTAGTAAGTAATAGATATAGAGTTATAATTTTGTTTTTGTAATTTTAATTTTATCTTTTTGCTGTGCCCAGGGTCCATGTCTTAGCTTTAAATGAATATGATAATAAACAAATAAAATTTAATTATATTATGCAAGGAATACATGTCATAGTTTGTGGGAAAACATCATGTTACTTAAATTCTAATTTTGTCCAGTACTTGTAGTAAAGTATTTCTTAGTTGTTAGTGACATGGTATGTGATAAGTAATTTGTGAAACCAATGTAACAAAATCTCATTTTCAAGTAGAATATCAAAATTAAAAAGGTACTTATTTCCTTTAAAATATTTTTCATTATTATTATTACACACTATGCACTATTAAGTCTAAATTAAAAAATGAAAACAAATAAAATATTAGTAATAATAATTACATAGCACAGTCAAATAAAACTACATTAGGGGTACAATAAGTTACGTTACTTAACACATTTTCCAGGTTGAAACAATGGTGGAAGCCAACTACGAAATATTACGTAGATCTTCCATAGCCCATAAATGATAAATTATATTAATTGGTACACTGTATTGCATATTTTTATGTTCTTTGGCCTCTTAAATAAAATAAGAGACAGAAAAATATTAACTTTATTTCTTTTATATTTCACAAATGACATGCTTTCTCAGGCAATTTTTCAAATTGTTAGGAAAAATATTAGTTTTCTAATGAGATACTTCATATTAAGTTTACCTTTTATAACAAAAGTAGTAATTATTTATTTTAAAATAAATTTAGAAAACGTATTTCTAATGAAATGAAAAATGAACTGTAACAAAAAAATTAAAATAAGCTATGCAATACGAGGATCAGTATAGAAAATTTTAAAGCAATTATTTACACATAAGGCAGGCTTTTCAGGGCAAGTAGCACACACAAACGATGATTCCTTTTGCTTCTTGTTTTTTGTGCAAACGGTTTGGCTGGAAAGGCTTTCTTAGCGGTGGGTGGTAGTTTTTCTAAGTAATGAAAGTTTTGCAATGGAACTCGTGCACCTTCGTTTGTCGATAAGCGACTCGCAACATTAGCAGGCGATCGAGGTGGTTCAGAGGGCCCTTGTAACGACAACGAAGGTATAAGTTAAAGTTTGTCTTGGGCATCTTATGGTTGTACAGGTGCTGCACATGATGCACCGGATGACACTGCTGCTGGATTCGAACTTAGTCCCATGAGTTATTTTACGAAATCTTCACGAAACTTATGAGAAGCATTTTCGAAGTATGATCATTGGCTCGAAGTAATCGATGGGCATTTTGGACTTAAATTTCAAAAATGTGTAATGCCAATTTCTTATGCCATCTAAGAGTTTTTCGAAGGCACGAGTAATATGAAACCATCTGGTCTCCTCTGTCCACACCAGACATCCCCAGGTTGTAGTCATCAACGATAGTAGGCTTCAACGACAATTTCCCGTTCCTTTTCTTACTGTCACGAATTGCAATTTATGTTTGTTGGAAATCACTAAGACGTCACGTTTGTCTTTCTACTTACAAACAGTAATGTCATTGCATACTTTTGCAGCCATTTCGCCAAGATTCAACTTAGCGTTGGCTACGTCTAGAGGAAGGTTCTTGCGGATCTTTCGAAGAGTACTACATATGTACGTTTTTCTTTGACTAAGACGCCTTGTTAGATCCGGTATGTTATAAAAATTGTCAGCGTAGATAACATGGCCTTTGTCTAAATACCCTTCCATTAGATCTAATACAACTTCGGTAATGTGTTTCCGGTGGCGGCTTCTCACTCTTTCCTCTATAAACACGTATCTTCATAACTATTCCTGATGATTCGCAAAGTTCATACAGTTTCACGCCATATTTATGTTTTTTTATTTTTTATATATTGACGAAAAACCAGTCTTCCTCTCCATAAATCCATCGATTCATCAATACTTAAATCAGTTTGTGGGTAATATATCTTAGACGTAATATTGTTAAAACGATCTAATATTGGTTGTATTTTATGAAGTCTTGGTGTTGCTGTGTCATCACTTTCAGAAAAATTAAATATTTGAAAGCGATTTCCACTCATAAGTTTTCTAAAAATTGGTAACTTGTACAGTGGATCTATTTTCCAATAATGACTTATAGTAGGTAAACAAACGATTCCCATACAGAGCAACATACCAATGAATTTACACATTTCTTCCTGATTAGTATCTTTCCAATACCTAAAACGGGCATGTTTTTGTACAGACCCTTTTGTGCCTTTTGTGTAGTTGTTTGTTGCTTGCACTAATGAATCCATAAAATGGTTTGAAAAAAAATCACCTAGCAATGCAGGAGTAAACAGGACGAAAGTAAGTAACAGAGATGCCAAGCTACGTAATATTGCGTATACTGGCATCATATGATGAAAGGGTTGTAATTGGTGCCGGACTATGTAATATTACGAATACGTACTATTGCGTAGATTGACATCCATGGGATACTTTTTCTAGTGGGTGCCAGCTACGTAATAATGCGTAGCACACCATTTGTATGGTGGCCACCGATTTCACTATGACGCTAACTTTTGGTACTCAATGTGTTAAATGCTAATTCGAACTCTTGGAGACTCGTGATTTGAGACTCACTCACTCTCAAATCACGAGTCTCCAAGAGTTCGAATTAGCATTTCTTTCAGTCTATGCATCCAACTGTACCCGGGAGTTTAAATCGCCTCTGAAACCTGTAATTTTGGAAAATATAATACTTAATTATTTGTTTTATTTTTAAAAGGACAGATGTTTTTACTATTATTTTGAACGTAGTGTGCATGAAAGGCTCAATGAGGCATTTTCTAATTACCTATTGGACTTAAGGAAGGTATAGTGTTTAGTGTAAAGCACATCAAAGAATATGCTACTAATAAAAAGTATTTCAAGTATGTATTTCTACTTAAATACTTTTGTCATATAACTTACTCAAGTTTTATTTGGGCTCGTTGTTGTTGCGACCTTGGAAACAGAATCCATTTGTTTAGAATGGCTGGATGGCTCAATGCTTCAACGACTTGACGTATACACCTACTAGTTGTTCTTTGTACCAAATGCTGTGTTAGTCCAACAATGCGTTGATATGAACCCGTAGCTAAAAAGCTAAGAGTACACAAAACCTGAAACATGATTGCATTAAGAAATGACATTAAGTACATAACTCTGTTGGAAGGTTTTATGTAGGTACAAAACTTACCTTGATTTCTAAACTAATTTCCCGGGTACCTTTCAATGACGTTAAACGCCGAAGATCATCACAAAGACGCCAAAAACTTTGTTTATCTAACCTAAAACGATGAACAAGTTCCAATTCCTCCATCTCCACAATTTGCACCATTTTACGACGATTTTCTCTTGTTTGGCGTCTTTGCAATGTTGTTTCATTATTAGCTGCCCATAATAATCTCAAAGTATGCATTTTCACTAATTAATTTGAATTAAAGACACACAAAAATATCACTGTTTACACGTTTCTAGCGTTAGCGTCTGGGCCCGATCTCCCGCTAATATAGCGTGTTGCGGAAACGTCAAAATATCATTGGCGTTTGTCAAAAGTGGCAATTGTCTACCATTTTAATGAACATTTTTGTCGTTAGTGTGTCACGCTCACTTCGACGTTCCTTTCCGCATGAGGAATAATGACTTTGTCTACCAATTAAGCAGAAATCACGTGACATCTGATTAGCAAATGTCAACACCATACAATTATATTTTTCCGTTGGCATTAACGCTTACAGGAAACGGATTTTGTCTAGGCCCCCAGGACTTGTGGAACTAAATTGCAATGACCTGTTCACTAAGCAAGTAATGAAACGTCATCGATAAAAGTCACTTGCCTAGCTGTTTGATCAAATGGCTGAATATCATTCAGGCCGCTAGTTGAACGGTGCTGTTTAGTAAGGAGGCTAGGCTGTTGATTGAACGGCTAATTAAGCTAGTAGGCTGTGACATACAACCCACGTTTTAATTTACATTCAAAGTGAAAAATTATATACGAAATGGAAAATCTATTGATATTTCTTATCATTCTAAATGTAATTAGAGGTAAAAGCAAATAAAATTACTGCCGTCAGCGGGGATCAACCACCGTTTTGATCACTTATAATTAAATTTTAGGGCGAGTGTTTATCCCCTGAGCTACTATCTTCTGAGTTCTTAAAATATTATGTACGTTAAATATGATACACCCATAAATCATAAAATAAATCTGTTGTATGTCGACAAGAAGATGTAAAAATGTAATACACGTGACCCTCGAGACGACGTATACTCGACAAATATATATAACGCTTGTAAGGCATGATACTTAAGTATTTACGTCAAATACATTTGTCCTCTTTTCACAAAGGATTGTATACGACGGCGCTATGACAGGTGTCTGTTGCCCCGCGGCGTCGCGCTGCCTCGACACACGGGTTTGTTCGTAGAGAATGTCTTTTGAATGTTTTATATGGGGATGAAAACAATATTTCAGGTGTCAACGGCTTTGTTTGCCTGTTATTGTTCTTCGCACACGAGAAATAATAAATGAAGCCTCTGTAATAATGAGCTCAAAGAGTACGAAAATCATCGTAGGTACTTGTATATTAACAGTAAGGAATCACAAATTTTTGTTCTACTACAATATATTAATAGACCGCGAATATTTTCATCCGTCTGCCGAGTGTGCTAGAAAGCAATATATGCAGCATAGAGCAGCAGTGGAATGTCGATAGGCATAATGAACATTTTCACAAATTTGATTGCTTGCTAACGCCGTGGT